CGACGGGAGGTGGGAGGCCGGTGCGGGCGCAGGCCGGCCCAGGCGGCAAGGGCTTAGGGGGTGGTGGCGCAGGGTCTGGCGCATGGGCAGAGCCCAGCTTCGGGGCCGCGCCGAGCGTGCTCTGTGAGCGCCGCCCGGCGCGGCAGCCGTGGCACGCGCGCGCGCTGCTCGGCCAGCTGTGGCCGCCCGGCAGCTGCCGCGCACCTGCTTCTTGATCTTCTTGAACCAGTAGTACCCCACACGGGACTGCCAGTGCACTGCCGACCCCGCCGCCGTGATCACCACGTGGAAAGCGCGCTCGGCGCCGCCGCCGCCCTGCGGTACGCTCGTGGTACGGACAGGGCAGGGCGGTACATGTTGAGCAGTACATGCAGGCCGTACGGGTGGCCGGCACGCCAGCCACAGCGGCGCAGCAAGCGAATACGAGGTGTGTGTGGGGGGTAGAGGTGCAGAGATGGTGGGCCAAACAGCGGGCAGCAGCGCGGCAAGGGTGCACCGGCATGCCGCCTCCCCCGGCCAGCCCGGCGCCCGCAGCCTGGCAACCGCAGCCAGGCAGCCGCCCGGCCCACTCAGCGCTTCCCAACCCGTCCCTTGGATCCCCGCCCTGGCAGCCCGGCGCCTCACCCCGACATCCGCCGCCGCCTCGTCCTTGGCTGCCAGTATCCCGGTGGTCCACCCGACATCGGGGCCCTCCTTAGCGGGCGCCGTGCCATACGGGTGCGCCAGGTGCTTCAGCCAGCACTCCTTGTGGTGGGCCCCGCACAGCGCCTTGTCCCCGCAGTACACCCAGACTGCGGTACAGTGAGCAGGGGCAGTGCGCTTGCGGGCAGCCGTGAGCGGCGCGGTCGCGGCAAGGTGGTGCGGCCCAGGCGCCGGCGGCAGCGGGTGCCGGCGGCAGCAGGCGAGGCACAGCAAAACGACGGCGGCAGCGGCACGCGCACGCGGAGCCGGCAGGCAGCCGACAGAGGCAGCACCCCCTGCCGCCGCTGTTGCAGGCAGGCAGGCAGCATGCACACCCAGCAAAAAAGGCGACGGCAGCCCATGGCAGCACCCAATGGCAGCACCCACCACCCATCTCCCACCGACTCACTGTTGCAATCCATCTGCTCATTGTCTGCCGCGGGCTTGAAGTCGGTGCATGCCTGGCAGCACTCCATCGCCGATTCCGTCTTGTGGCTGTGCCCCCACACCAGCGCATCCCCCCAGTAGCTGCAGCAGGGGACCGCAGTGAGGAAAGAACATGAGCGCTGCTTCACCGTCTGCACCTGGCGCAGGCAGCCGCAGCGGAGGCGCCCGGACAGGCGCTGGCGCGGCACCGAGGCGGCCAAGCGAGGGCCGGGCGAAAAGCGGTCATCTGGCGGCCCATCCGACCAACGTGGCAGCACCCAACAGCAGCCGGAACTGATCCACAGCCAGCCAGCCAGCCAGCCAGCTCACTCTGTGTTGTTCAGCATGTTGCACCGCCCCTCGGTGACTGTGACGGCCAGCCCCGGCTTGGCCTTGCCGCCACCTCCCGTCGCCCCGCTGCTGCCCCCTTGGCCCGCCTTCTTGGCCCAGGGCTTCTGCTGCTGCTGCTCCTGCTGCCCCTGCAACCCGTTGGGCAGCTGGTTGCCCACCATGCCGCGAAACTCTGCAGCAGCGGGGCAGCGACAGAGCCGGCGTGAGGAGGGCAGTGGAGCAGGGCGGCGGCGGCGGCGGCGCTGGCAGCAGCAACAAGAGGGGGTGACCGCTGGCCGTAGGGCGCTTACTCGCTACGCCGGCCTGCAGGTGCAGGTGAGAGGCTATGTTCTGCTCGGCGCGCTTGAAGATGGACGACTCTGTGGGCAGGTCGGGCTCCGCCTCGATCAGCTCGGACAGGTGGTTGACAGATGACCAGGTGTACATTATGGTGATGGTGGCCAGCGTGAACAGCAGGTAGCCGCGCCGCTGGGGCGCCAGGAGCCGCTCCATTGGCGCTGGTGATGGCAGGGGGTGCTATGCGGCGCAAATACTCATGCTGGACGCTCCAGAAGAAGAAGAAGACCAATTGGCAAGTGTTGGGGGGGCCGGGAGCAGGATGTTTCCCTGCTGGTGCCAGCACCACGAGGGCGCTCAGGTAGGCCTCCCGATCACCGGTCCCCCCCTGGCGGGGGTCATGAATCCCCCACCCATCATGCATTTCAGGCTTCATCTCCCTCAAACCTCCACCATTTTCCCTCTCGTTTGTTGTGATCGACTCCGGGTAGCCTAAATGTCATTCTAGCGGGGGCTATGGGCCGCGACAAAGCGACAACCTCTGGTGGCAAAGGCAGCACTCTCGGCGTGTCTGCCAAACCCCTGAAAGGCGGCACCAGCAAGTCCCAACACAAGCATCTTACAGCTCTACTGCAAAAGTGGGATAGAACCACCAAGGCGCATCCTGACCTGCGGGGCGTTCTGCTGTTACAGTCTGCATACTCCAACAGCAATGGATGGGCTAGAACGCACAATATTGCCGGCATGGGCCCACTGCTGAAGGCTCTCTTGATGGAGATAGTGGCATCCGCCGGCGGGCGGCGGGTGACGCCACGCATGGTTGCCGACATTTCGGAGGGGGCGACGGCGGAGAACTTGCAGTTCCTGTTGCGAGTTCTGGAGTTTCTGGCAGCTGCCGAAGTCGTGGGAGGGAAGCATGTTGAGATGATGATGAATGCTGTCACGGGCTGCAAGCTCGACGCCCCGTCAGGTGCGCCTGGTAGCGACGCTCAGGCAGCCAGTCTCTCCATGCCTTGGTCCTGCAGGCTCTGCTGCCTTGCCTGCCTGCCTGCCTGCCTGCCTGCCTGCCTGCCTGCCTGCCTGCTCTGCCTCCCTTCATCAGTTCCTCGGCTGCCTGCTGCAGGCTTGGCAAACACCGCGTTCAAGTTTGGCAACAAGATGGGCGCGACATCCACCTTGCAGCGCACGGCAACCGGGGTGACAGATCCAGTTGAGGAGCCTGGCTCCCCTGAGCATGATGCTGGCGGGGATGGGGGTCAGCCGGAGGTCACTTCACCGCATCGTATGGCCCAAACAGCAGCGGCGACTATTACCATGCGCACAGCGGCAGCTGAAGCCACGGCTGGCGGCGGCGGGGAACCCGGGGCAACAAAGCAGGTGCGCTGGCTGGTCAGGCGTTCTAAATCTGGTGCCGCATATCCCCGCTGCTACTGCTGCTACGTTGAGGAGCCTCACCCACAGCGTGCCAACCATGGCTGTACAGGCGGGCGCTGGCACGCAAACGGGTGCCGGCGCAGGCGAGGCAAGCAGTGGCAGCGATGGCGAGCGTGGCATGGGACAGGTGCGCTGCCTGGTTTGTTAGCCTACATCTGCTGGAACACACCAGGTGTTGTTGTTGCTATGGGTCCTCACTCAGCTCATCCCTTGCTGTGCAGGCGGCACCGCCACGGCGCAGGCTGCGGCAGCAGGTCGTGGAGGATGACGAAAGCGACACCGAGGCGGAGGTTGATGCTTCTGCATGCATCACTGCCACGGCTCCGGCAGCGGCAGCGGAGCAGCGCGCGCCGTTGGGCGCTCAGCTGGGCAAGCGCGTACGGAAACCGCCTAAGCAGTTTGCAGACCACATGCTCTATGATGAGGGCAATGCGGCAGCCGCGACTGCAGAAGGCAGGTGAGCTCATTGGTTTAGGGCGGGCAGTGCAGAGGCAGTGGGACGAGGGTATAAGGGCACACGGCAATGTTCTGCTGCCCCATGGCGCCCGGCGGGGCGCCGGTTCCACAAAACCATGCCCTCTGCAGCCTCAACTTGCTTGGACCTGCCCCCGTTCTGCCTGCCCTGCACCCCTGCGGTGCCCTTGGGTGTGCCCAGCAAGTTTGGTGGAATTTGGTGTCAGGCTGCCCGTCACCCATCTGGACCAGATGGCTGTCGGGAGCGTCCTTCGGGGGGGGGTTGAGGCCTCCATCAGAAGCCATCTACTTTTCACCCCCCTCAGATTGCTCTGCAAACTTGCACCCGCCCATTTCTGAGGGCTCTGATGCTGATTCTGAAGTCCTTTTGGGTTGAAAATGTGCTGACGTGGCGCCAGCCTGCGTGCCCGCCCAGCCCGCCTGCCCGCTCTCTGCGCCTACCGGGCCCACCCCTCTAGCGCATCTCTGCTTGCGCATCTCCTGGTGCGCGTTCCATTTCATCAACGCCTCAACATAGCGCACCTGTGGCAAGCACGGAACGGAGCACACTGTAGATGATGGACGGTGGCATGGCTTTGCCACATCAGCAGCGCCAGCATCATATGAATCACCTATCAAGCGCACCTTTGTGCTGATGCCAACAGTCGATGCCGGCCCGCTGGGTTGAAGAGAAGCCAGCGCTGCCTCCAGATCAGCCACACCAGCAGCGGAGGCCTCGGCTCTCAAGTCCTCAATCCCCTTCTCGTGCTGACCTGCAGGCAGGGCGCAGGCAGGGCGCAGGCAGCACCGGCCTGTGTGTGGAAGCCATCACAGGCGGGGCTTTCTGGTGCCACAACAAGGGAACAAAATGCAGGAGAGGCAAACAACGCAGCGCAACGCACTAATGGTGTTGCCAATGTTCTTCAGCTTCTTTTCCAGCAGCTGCGGCAGGTCACGCTGCACCAGCTGCCCCAGCAGTGCGAACAACGAGTTGTAGCCATCCCACCAGCGGGGGGGCGCCATGTAGCGCGCGACAAGAGAGAAAGGCTTCACACGCGACCAAACTTGCTCAGACTGCTCTCCAACACGGCGACCCACGCCTTCCTGCAAGCAGCAGGGAGATAGCATGGGCAATGTGGTGAGGGTCAGTTGTGCGTGGGAGGAAGGTGCCGGCAGGGCTTGATTGCAGGGAAGGCTTCATACCTGGTACAAGCCGCTGAACTGCAGCTGGCAGGGCACGTCATGGTCAAATGCATGCATCCACGGCACCATCACATTCAGCTGCGTGGGGCACGAGGCATCGGCCTTAGGCATGAATGTGGCCACCAGAATGCCAGAGGTCCGCCCATGCCTTCTCACCTTCTCCAAAACCCCAGGTGCCAGGTCACCAGCGTCCACATGGCGCTGCAGCGCCGCTAGCAGGCTCGCTTTCAGGCGGCAGCCGATGTCGATGTAGGCGTCCGCGATGTCTGGCCGGCGCAGCAACACGCTGGTGAAAGTGCGGATGTGGTACTCCCACTGCTCGGGAGTGCGCATTGCCAGCATGGCATCGCGCCCAGCCACGCAATGGTTGCAGAACACGCCCGCTAAACCAGACACATCAACCACGCCGCGCGCGCTAGCAGAGGGGCGGCTGCATGTTAGATTGCTGCTGCAGGCGCCACTCGCCTCGCTGGCGGCGCAATGCTCGGCCCAGCGTTGCTGCGCCTCGCTGTTCAGCTTGCCCGACTCGAAGTCGCTGATCACGCCCCTTGCCACAGCAGCCAGAAAAGTGTAAATACTGGGGCAATGTGGCTGCGAGCGGCCGGCCATCGCAAAG